GGGGGAGCGGGGAGGGTCGGGGCTCCGGGCGGCGGCGGCGCGGGCAGGACGCGCGAGGAGGCCCCTGTGCCGCGTCCCTCTCGCTGCGCGGCGCTCGCACGTGTGTTACTGACAGAGCCGAATCCCAACTAGACTCCAGCGCTGCTCCGCGTCAGCGCCGCGCGCCCAATCCGCCCCCGGCTTGTTCAGGCGGAATAATAAAACCTGCCAATCCCGGGGAAGACAAAGGGACGAGGGAGCCGGGGGGGGGCCGGGGAAGGAGGCTGGGTCAGGTGGGAAGCAGGCGCCGCCTGGCTGCGGAGCAGGGGAGGCTGCCGCTGCTCCTCCAGCCCCGGGTCCCCCCAGGCGCGGATTTGCCAGGTCACGGCTCGTCCCCCGGGGCCGGGGCCGGGGCCAGCCCCGCGCCGCGCCTGGCAGCGGGGGAGGAAAAGTTGCGAGCGGCGCCTCGCGAGGCGACCACGTCCCGCCCCTGCCGTTTTTTAAGTGCTCCCCACTGAAATCAATGGGGAGCTGGACTTAAACGCTAATGCGGCTCTATAATCCGGGATTATTAATACTCTATAAAGGTTTAAAGCGGGGGATACGATCTGCACTTGGCTGGCAGTTAACACGGCAGCTGCCGTTTGATCCGGGCTGCCGCACCTCGGGGAAGAAGGGCACTGTCTGAGGGCCAGCGAGAGGCACTAATGCCTCATTTGTGCGAGTGGGGGGAGCATAGCACCATACAGACAACTAGGGAAAAAAGAAAGTCTCCTTCGAGTGGGGAAAGCAATAATGAAAGAAGCTTTAAAAGTGCCACAACTCTGAGGCCTGTTGCCCTGCACAATTAGGCAGGGGCAGTAAGATGTCTCCTATCTCGTCCGCTCTCGCAGGGCAGGTGCCAGATCGCTTCGCGGCATTCAGTGCAGGTAAAGAGTCGGGTGAACAACAGAACATAGATGGAGGATTCATTTCTTTAGGGAAGTCGATCATGTCAGTCTCTTAATTTAGCATTTTTCCTGTAAATAATCCAGCCAGTGAGATGCCACCAGGTTTCTGCTCCTCAGAGTTGCATCTAACTCTGTAGTGCGGCACAGTCTAACCCTGGGTGACGCACTTACCCCAAACTATCCCAGCACTCCCATGAAATGAGCGTAGTCATCACTACACAGAGCTGGCTCCATCACACAGGTGGAGCAGTTAGTTGCTTTTGGCAGCAAAATGTTTAGTGGCTGCAGAGTGTTTGGCTAAAGAGGAACTTGAGTGATACACAGTTTCCATTGTGCTCAAAGCAATAAAATATTGTAGAGCTGTAAACGTCTAGTTAGAAGGGATATGTTCATTTTAACTATGGGCATTTGTTTAGCGATGGTGTGTTTGTATTAATATGAAGCGTACATTATCTCTTTGAAGGAGCAAAAAGTAAACCTTGTCACTGCAATCACAGTCCAGGTGTACTTTAACCAGAGCGCCACCTGTGGGTGTCCTGTATTTTTGCACCCTTCCCTCAATGGACCGAAGAGAAGTGCTGTTGATAACGGGCTGCAAGTCAGGTAGAAAAATATTTAGATGTGACAATACATATTTGTAGGTGCCATCAATGCATTTTTATATTCTGATTATATACGTGCTAGTACAATGTCCTTTAAATGTCACAGAAGAACCATTTAAATGTAGGGGGAAAGGTCATTTCTTTCTTCTTATGCATTAATCAGTCCTATGGAATATAATTGAATGGGATCCCATTGCAGGATTGGAACATTACTGGGCAGAAAACAAGAGATGTGGGTAAAAGAATGATGCATTTTTAGTGCATGTTTTTGCAATTAATCACCTAAATATAATCTCCATAAATTTATTTGCATATGTATTTCATTTGGGTGTATATACCAAATGAAATGCATATGTAAATAAATATCCACATACAGACTCTGTACTTACAAGCTTGCCATTCAGATGCCGTGGTAATTTAAAATATACAAGTTATGCTACAAATATTAACAGTTGCTTTTAACCTACGTTCTCTGACTAGCAAAGAGCAGTACAAACAAGAGAACAACCCCTACATGAAAGAAAAATCTGTTACCTAATTCTCTGACTCTGTGATGTCTGTAAATTACCAAATTCAGGGTTTGAATTCAGGAAATATCAGGAGTTTCCAACTGAGAAAGATTTCCTAACAAAAAAGCTGTGCCGTTGGCACAAAAGAGTTTACCAGTTTTAGAGCTCACTACTACTGGTATATAATAGGAGAGATCCCTTTCCAAGAAGCAGGGTACCAGACCATTCTCGATTTTTAAAAAGCTTTCCAAATATTCACTACCATATATTGTTCAAACACATTACCGCATAATATTAATCTTTGCTTTTTCTAAAATATTATTTTCACTAATTTTGTGATTAGTGTGAAGTAGAAAATCTTAACTGAGATCATTTTGCAGAATGATTTTTTTTTTAATTTTTCTTTTGTGCAGCATCTGTTGTTGCTGTGCTGTCATCTTTGTTATGTTTTTCATTGTCTGTGTGCCATAATGTAATTAGTTAGTTCAACATCATCTGTGCTATTAGACGAGATGTTTCTATGGTAAGTTAACATAGTTCTGTGTAATTGGTAGATTTCAACAGTAGGCATAAATGTGTCCATCAACTTCAGGTGGGTTGAATCCACAAGATTTCAATTCACTTGGCATATTTCTTCCTAGAAGAGACTGTTAATTGCAGCTGAATAAATAAAAACATAATACACAAGGAAAAGCTGATGGCTGGTAACACTGTAGGGTTGGAGAGAGAGAGAAGCTTATAAAATGGTTTATAAGGTTGAAAGCTGTTAGCTGAATGATTGAAAACAGTTAAGTCTATCATCAAAATCATTTCACTCCAACAAATACCCATGAGACAGCATCTAGGGAGAACAGAACCAACCCACTGAGGTTTTCCTCTCCCTTCCATGAAAGGTTGCCATTTTTGTCCCTAACCCCTGCAGACTCCTCTGAGCATGCAGCTGTCTCTTCCCTTCTTCCCTAGGTTCCTAAACTGCTGATGCTGCCATTTTGTGATGAGATTCCCCTTGTTGTTATCCTCTGTCTCCCAATCTACACCTTTTGGGTAAAGGATCAGACTCTGAAAGGAAACCCTTTGATCTCATAACTCCTTGTAGAGGCAGCAATGAAATAAAACTGCCATTTCCTATTTCAAAATAATACTACTTTCTTCTGTCCCAGGATCTCAAAGGATGTATAAATATTAGTGGATTGAGGCATTATTGTCTACTGGTGGGAGGGAGTACAAATCCAAAAACAGAAGTCTGTAACAAGCTGGGAAGAAAAGCCAGGTTTCCTGACTTTCAGCAACCTCCTAATCATTAGACCACTCTATCTGCTCTGACTTATTTTTAGAAAAATACGTATACATATACCTTGTTCTTCAAATCCTTAGTCACATGAGTAACACTGCTTCCTACAGTTGTGCCCTGTGGAAGTCTATGAGTAAGGAATACTCGCATAGATAAGGAGATAAAGGATGTGGTTCTTCCTTATCATCAAAGGATCCACACCTTAGTAAAAGCAATATAAATTGCATAATATGTAAGTAATGAATTCCCCTTAGCAAGAAGTAAAGCTAGATGTACAATGATACTGCCATGGTTAAAATTATTGGTAGCTATTTTCCTGAGTGTATTTTTATTTGAAAAACTGATATAGTGTCATTATCCTCTAGTCCTGTGAGTGGAATCTGTGGCAAAAGTCAATACAATCAAAGTCTGAAACTTTACTGTGTTATACTTAAAACTGCAAACCTTTGGATGTTACCAGAATACGCATATTTATTAACAATAAGTTTGTTATATAATATAGTCCTACAACCAAAAATTTCAAATAGATCATGCTGAAGAATCTAATAAAAAAAACAAGTTAGTTTAGGTATTTTATATAGTTTTTGTGATCACTAATTATAATAGTGCAATTAATAAATATATTCATAAATATAAAAGCAGTTAAAAGACATTTCTACAATTCAAATGTTATCTTTAAAAAGCACAACTGAATTTTAAAAATTCAAATTTAAATATATATGCCTTCTGAGCTTACCTTTCTGTTGTTTTTCCCCACAAAGACTCTGATGACAATCTGGTGAAAACGTTGACTCTCCAGCAGTTTCACATTATAATAAATGGTCATATTAGAGGGAAGGACAGCACAGTTCAGGGGCATCTAAAGATCTGAAAAATAACAGTAGTCTATGAAGTACTTTAAATTTACTGCACAAAAAAGAACAAACAGATATGGATTTAAAAAAAATATCAACATTGGCTAACTCAATTGACTGAAATATGTTCACTAAATGCAGAGGTACATGTTTTTAATGCCATCATTTAAGCTTCTGAACATAAATCACATTTTATAATAAAATCATTTTTGATAAATCATTACCAATTCTTTTCAATCAGGCCTAACTTCAAAAAAAATTCCAGCAGAGAAGGCAAACTTGTCAATTTCCCCACCTATAAGACAGAAAATTACAGATAATATTTAAAATCCTCTATTACAATCTGACCATCTTTTTGCTGTAGTCATTTTTTAAATTACATTAGCCATGGAGCAAAGTTTTGTTTTCTGTAGTCTGTCAGTGAAATCTGGTTTGATTTAAGAAAACAGGCCCAGGGAGATGTTATTTAAAGAACAATGTCTTGGAAATGATTTGTAACAGGGGAAAAATGAATATTTAACTCTAGCTTTTATTAACATTTCTTCCAAATAAGCTAAAATGTTCAGAAGACGTTAGCACAGCACAAATGAATACATACCATGTT